ACACCAACTTTTAGCTATATTTAACTAATGTTAATGGCAGAACAGAACAAGCTCCAACAGCTTAAGAAAAACACCACCAAACACAGCTTAAGAAAAACACCACCAAACACAACACCAAAAAAACCTCCTGCTAGTCTTTCTCCTCCCACTAATTCTCAGTAGCTTGTTTGCTAGCTTTAAATATGCTTGCAGACATCCACTGATGTGATTTAATTGATTCAGTAATTTATCTCAGCAGTTCTGGAACACTGAGCTTTTAGGCAGTTGTGAGCTCTGCCAGCCCCTTGCTAATTGACTGAAACTAACAATAAATTCCCCCTACCTTTTGGATGACGTGCAGTGCTATCAAACTGATGACTAACTTGCCAGGATTAATTGCCAAGCTGTTTGCTAATCAACAGTAATTAGCAGGAACATGGCATAAGACTAGGACACAAAAGAAAAAGGAAAAAAGGAGACCTTTCAGCTGTTCTCCCTAAAAGAACAAACAAAGAAAGACTTGACAACTGGACAGATAATAAAAAAATGAAGTATTTAAAATTTAAAATGCTTCCACTTTAAAATAAACCCATAAAATATTCCATAAGTGGCACAACATTTGGAATCCCTGTGCTGTTTGTATTTAATGTCAGTTCTGGGGCAATTTGCTCTCCAAACTGGAGTCTGAGACATAATTATCTGCTGAACTACGAGGATTTTAGTGTTTCACCTGTAGGTGGCAAGAAGCGGGCATATGTCTTTTCCTGATAGTGTTGGTTTCCTTTGGAAAGGTGGGTTTTTTGGGTTTTGGGTTTTTTTGGTAATGTATAATCTGCTATTCACTTCACACAGTGTCAAGCCAGCTGGCATTTATATAGTATACTTGTGATTACAAGTTTTAAGATTTTTTGTAAGTATGGTCAGTCCCATTCTGTGGGCTGAGAAAGATAGAAATTTTTCAATTAAGCATTTCCAGAACTGGTTTCTGGATATTCAGATATATAGTCTGGGCTCTGGGCATTGGTCACAAATCAAGCCTTAAGTAGAGGCCTGAAAAATTTAGAACATTTTACTCTGTATGATTTCCTCTGGATTGCATTTTTTCTATGGCCATGCTATCCAGTAGTTCTATACGTGGCATAACCTAGGCTGATCTGACTATGCAAATACTTCTGTTTAAGTACTGAGAAGTCAACTGTCTGTAATATAAACATTTTTACCAAGAACAGAAAGCGAAATTCAGCCAGAAAGTCTATGGGGAAAATTGTCTTCCCATTACAGATCTCTGTCTCCAGCATGTGCGGACTTGATTGTATGATATAATAGTGTCTGCACAACCTCTTCCCTCCCCTTACATAGAGGGTTGCTAATAATAAGTTTTATCTGAAACAGTAGTTTTAGCACCCATGGTATCTGCTTGTATAGCAGAGACACTCTCTCAGCTGTTATACAAATGGATGTCATGTTATAAGTGCCTTGCTGGTTCTCTATGCAAGACCTTGTTCCTCCAGTTCTCTGCTAGGGCAGACACCTGCTTGTGTCATCCCCACTCACCATCTGTGAAAGAGGTCTTTGCCAGTAACTGGTTCTCAAACAATGTGACACCATTGCACAAAATTAAAAGCAGTAGCGAAACATGCTGAAACATCCAGCAGCACTTTGCCACAGCTTTTCTGGAGCTTGTTGTTTAAGTGTTTAGGTGTTTGGACAGCGCAGTAGCACAACAAAATCCCCGTGCTGTGTAATCATTGCCATTTTGAACCTTAATTTTCTTTCAGTATGACAGGATTTTCAACTATTTTTTTGTACTAGTGGCATTGTATTTTGAAAAAAAAATCAGTGAAATAAACCCATTAGGCTATTACAGAATTATTTTGAAGATATGTTTAACGAGTCTTCCATTATGCCTCAGTTTGTTTTAAAATCTCTGATTGACTGCTTCTGACTTTTCTTTGGGAACCCTTGTCTTATTTTGTTTATAAGGAAGGAAGGCTTTCCCAGGCATCACTTGTTTACTCCAGAAACACATTAGATGTGAAACTGAAATGGTGTACAATACTGAAATATTCATAGTCAGCCTAAGGCTGTTGAATGCGGTAATTTAAACAATCAATACTACAACTTTGCACTTCTGCATTTTCACTTCTTTGGCACTTGCTTTCGTGCTCTGCTGTAAGTGATCCTGCTGGGTCATCCCATTATGGAAGAAATCATAGGGTTGAATCCAATTAAGAGCTTGGGCGGCACATCAGACTTTTAAGTACTTGCGTTTGCAGAGGAACCCAGAGTCCTGGGGTAGACATTTAGGCTCTTTATTTGATTCCCGAGAAGAGTTAGGACTGAATGCAATCTGAAACAGCACTACCTGAGGTGCCAGCCAGCTGGCCTCTGAGGCAGAGATGCTTACATCTGACATCTGAGACAAATAGGATGCATGAGTAAACCTTAGCCATGGTTTTGCTTGTCATATTGCAGGGCTCTGTCAGCTTGAACTCACTGCCAGTAATCTCGCTTATGAGAAAAATTGTTTTTTTTTTTAAGAACTGAGAATGATTTGTCTTTTTTGTTTTAAACATGGTTATTGGAAGACATATTATGCCTTCCTATCCTCCCATACACAGCAAACAAGTTTTATTCTCTTGTTTTCTTTTTATTGAAATAAAGCAACCATGGCAGAGGGTAGAGATTGATTTCAGCCCCCTTCTCCACCTGATCTACTAAAAACTCACTCATCTCTTTCTTCCAAAATCTCAGTTATTATTAGTAATGTGATGTGACTGTGGTGCAAAGAAGCTGTGTTTTCCAGCTTTCCCGTTCTTCCAGTTGCACTTAGTTTCCCCACAGAGAGGATTTTGATACTTATTGGATCAGAAAAAGATTAGGATTTTGTAATCTACTGGCCAGGAAAACGTAGGGAGAAAGTGAAGTGTTCTTCTGTTTTCCGTCTGAAGGTTGCTTCTTGTGAAGTTTGGAGGAGGAGGAGACTGAACCCTGGTCTCTCTGGTCCTGTTCATGTGTTTTCATTGCTAAATTAGCAGCCTAAAGGCTGATGTTCTGTGGCCCCTCTAGGTGCATTTTGAGTTCTCTTTTGCATGGATGTCAAGCCTGCCTGTGCATGTTAGAAAGCATGCTGTGAAAGTGCCTGCCTGACAGATTTCCTTTGGGAGCTGAGGGGAGCACTGTCCATGTCCTATGTTCTGCCAATTCACAGGTGGGATTCAGGCTGCCAAGTCATTTTCATGGTCTCTTTGGCTTGGTTAAGGAAGAAGGTCCTCTCCCTTTATTTAGGACAAGCACCGATGAGAAAAATAATAAGCTTTAAGGGAAGAATAGAAACCAGTTAATGATTTTTTTGTTTAGCTTACATATTTTGCTTCGGAATTTACCTGTGCTTTATAGGCAAATTTATATGACATTTCTGGTTCCTGCAGAGAGTTTCAGCAGAAAGTAGGCACTAAAATCCCAAAAGACCCTCTTGAAAACAGTTCCTGAGAGGTGTAACCTATAACCAAAGAAGTTTCAGCAGGTCACACTGAAAATGCTTCTGCAGGCAAGGAGGCAGCAACAGCATTGCTTTGTTCAGAAACATTGACAAAGCAGCAGCCAAACTGGGATTTGAGTATAAGAACTCGTGTGGGAATTTACATGTGTGCACATATGTATTTTCAAAGAATAATGACGTGTCCTTATGATACATTGCACTGTCTGGTTCACAGTGTTCCTTCATTATTATAGTATTAATAATGCAGGCTGAAGTAATTCATCCACATATTCAGAACCATATAAATAAAATGGTGGTCATTTATGGGTAGCCTTAAGTGCTTTTCAATGGCCTCACTGAAGTTAAATGATGGCAATAATAATCTTTTACAATTTTTTTAAAATACAGTGCAGTACACTTTCTTGTGGAATATGGGATGACTTGCAATGTGAGACATATTTGATGCTTTTTGCCAGCTGGGGACAATTGGAGAAACCAACCCATCGCAGACTCAATTTAGAAATGCAAGTAACTATCTAGATACTTGCAATGACTGGCTTTTAAAATTTATTTAAATTTAGATGTTGGAAGTACCTACAATAGTTTCACCTATAAAATGGAGTAGGATTTTACAGGGCCAGAAAAACACCTGCAAAAAAAAAAATCACATCTGAATGCTTTTCATATATCTGGAGTAGTAAATATATGTATTTTTACTCTAACATTGAATCTATTAATTAATATAAATTTAGTAACAGCATGACATTCAGATGAGGCCATATATTATTCCTTCCTTTCCTGAGAGGGCTCAGTGGGACTACATGTGCAAGTAAGTCCTATAAGGAATGACAGCTATCTGATTAATTTCTAAATTCACCTGTGAGAATAGTTGAAATTTATCACAAATCTAAGCTAACCATATAGGCCAAATTTACTACAAAGGAAAACAGGCAAAATAAGCCTGGATGTTCATAGCAAGGATATTTACAAATAGGGGCTATAACAGGCTAAGAATGATAGAACACCCCCAAGGAACATTGTTAATGAAAGTGCCATTTGCACAAGCTGCTAGTTGTACCAGGTACACAGTTCATTACTCTGGGAAGCTGGAAGTTCTCTATATCTGTCCTGCCAGCTTTGCAGAATCATGGTGGTAGCAGTGCCTTATAACACACACTGCCCCTGCTTAGGCAGACATCAACTCACCAGACTAAAGCAGTCAGAGCTGACATGAGACTATAGCTCCTTTAGGTTGAAAATTGTCAATTTTTAATTACCTTCTGCAGCAGTGTCTTGCAACTGTGTGTTTATTCTTCAGAAAGGAAGCTTTCATTAGCTCTTCAAACACCAAAGTCTGATAGAAACAACAGAATTAATTTATTGTCTCTAAAAACCTGTGAATGTCTTGGGGCTGCCTGATTTGACTTCTCATGGATGTTCACTGTGTATCATTCTCATGGATGAAGTGGTTATTTATGTTGTGGACAGAGGCAGATCTGTTGCTGGTCAAATTCCTCCCAAAGGGCTCAGTACACATAGAGGATAGGAGGAGCATCAATAGCATTACAGACTGCAGCAAACACATCTCATGCAAAAGGCAGAAGAGCAGAGAGGAGAAAACTTTAGAGAAGAGAAAGAGGAAATACAGTGATTGAGAGAAAACTATGCTGCTTGAGGAAGAACAGACATAAACTGACAATCGAATACATCAGGAATTACATAAGCAACATGTCTCGGTCACCAGGAAGAAAGCCGGAGAACCACAAAATAGTAAGACATTTTTGTAATGTGTGTTTAAAATTGTGCATGGAGTAAGAGTAAGCTATTACTGTATTGATGTATATTATGCAGTCATATTTCTGAACAGTCTGAAAGTAGTGAAAGGATGGGGATGAGTCTGTCGGTACAAGAGCAGAGGGGCTGGCAGCATTCATGGCTACTATCCCTACTGCTGAGATTCTGAACAGGCTTAGGAAAGAGTGGCACAAATTTTCTGAGGTTATGATCTGTTCAGAAACAGAAGTTTAAGTGCTTTGGGTGATTTATGGTCAAAGATAGGAATGCCAGGTTTATTTGCCTCCTTGGTTAGACAGTTCTAAATGAAACACAGAGAGAAGATCTCTGTTAGTGCTTGAGTGGTTCAAATCCACATAAACCTTTTTTCAGAAACTTAGAGCCTTAGGGCTCTCTGTATGGTGAATGGCAATTTCTGACAGGAGTTCAGGCAGTGAAGAAGGTCCAGAAGGCTTTACAGCAATGTTGTGGTAATTTCTGAAAAGGGGACAGAGGTCTCCACTGACAAAGAAACAGAAGAATATAAGATAATTTAGGTTCATGTACGTAAGTTTATGGGCAAAAAGTATTCCAATGGATTGCAAGAGTGGATGATAAATACAATTATGTTGATATAATATGCTTGGGTTTCTCTAAAGTATTGTTCTTATTACAACACAGACTTTTTGCTGAACAATAATAATACAACAATACAGAACTTGTATGACATCCATTTACTCCATTAAAAACTCATTAATGAGAATTTGGCCAAGTGTCCAATGTTTTTGTAAACAGAAGTTATCACTAAGGTGAATTTAGGAAATGGCTGCATATTAAACTCCAAGCTTTTGAAGCAAGGAAAGCAGGAATAGGTCTTTCCACCAAGCTGTTCTTCCTTTCTTCATGTGATTTGTTCTGTTGTTTTCATTGTTATTCACTAATTTCTCCACAGGCTATAAACGAAAAGTGCCTCTAGTCTAATCATATGCCACAGGGCTAGAGTACTTCCTTTAATTAATTCCTCCACAGCTGAAGATCCCAGTCTAGCACTTTAGACAGAATCTCTGCAAAGTTAGGCCTTTGGCATGTTCAGTTGCTCTCCATGCTCCTTGGGCAAGCAGCTGTAATCCTCACCCGCCCCCTTCATCCTGTCACTATTTGTTACAATGGTGTTGAATTATAGTATTTTTCCACTATTTTGCATTTAATTTTTTATCTGCTTTTTAGTTTTTTTATTTTTGGAGAAATCAGCTGATGAATTGAATCAGATCAACCCTACCTTTGTAAACTATTGTACCTATTGCAAAAGAATTAATAGCTCATTGCCTCTATTATTCTTCCTGCAACTAAATGTTTGTCATTATTCTTCGATGCATTGGACAGCATTTATCAATCCAGCATACATACATGAAGTTATAGGATGCAAGAATGCACTTGATGAAAGTAACTGCAAGCATCCCAAGAAATGGTATTTCTGACAAGCAAAATCCTTGTACAGACTCAAGTGACAATCAATTCAGGTTCTGTCACACATGCATTGTGGATTTCAGCGATTATGCATCCATAGACAATAGTTTCTTTATTAATGCAAATGTTATTCTTCCTTGCTGTTAATCCAGTAGCAGTTAAAAATTTGGAGAAGTTTAATTCTAGTTTGCTTCACTTTTGATTTCCTGGCAGAGCAGAGAACTTTTTGTACTGACATATGGGGCTTTGGTAGCCCAGCTGTGCAAGGACTATGAAAATGATGAAGATGTCAACACCTGTTTAGATAGAATGTAAGTACTGCTTGAAATGTTCAGCTCTATCCATAATGCTGTTTGTCCAGCTATATGTTACCTCTCAGCTTTCTGTTTGTTATCTTATGAGTTCCAGCATTCTGTCTAGGATTACACAGATGACAGGGATGCAGTCTGATATTCTGTCAACAGAAATAATGCTAATTTGTGAATTAAGAACGACAATTAGCTTTTGAATTCTCTGAAGAATGGTGTCAGGATCGTTTTCATAGCTTACACTTGTTCCTTGTTGATCTTTTTGTTATACTAATTAACAATATAAACTTCTAAATTTCATCTCCTACATCCATGTATTTCATTTCAGCTTCCCCCCTCATTGGGTTAAGAGCAGATGGGCCTCTCACCTTTAAGAGACCATATAGCAATGGTCTCTTAATAGTGAGATAGCACAAAAAGTCAATGAGAATGGATTTTTAAGTGGATAATCTCTTTGGAAAATGAAGATCCTGTGATTACAAGATCCTGTCATCCTGACTGAGATTCCTGGGCATTACTGCCATTAATATAAAGATATCATGGAAAATCAGCAAGAAACAGTTTTTGAGCTAGTTAACATGATATACTAAGATCTTTGGCAGAACAGTAAGGCTTGTGCTTTCAGCCAAAATGGACATGCAAAATGGATTTGCAGCAATCACAGTGGACAGAATAACTGACCACTTTACTATTAACCTGAAAGTTTGCAAATGAGCTATAGTCCAATAACTATCCACAAGAGTGAGTTAAAAAATCATTATTTGGAAAAAAGAAAAGTAATTTATTAACAAACTTAGGAGGGACAACATCCCTCAGATATTTATTTTGTAGCCATCTCTCATTCAGCTGTGATGAAAATCATACATTTAAAGAGTGCACAGACTTCTGGAAGAATGTGTGGAGACAGATTTTGCTACCTATGTTTTCATTATTATGGCTGATTCTATAAAATCTTTTTGTTTTGAGGAGGACTTGATGATATAATTACAGGTTTCATTAAAACAATATGTCTGTTCTTTTCTACTGTGATTATGAAAACAACCTAGTTTCAGGAAGAAACCTTGTAGATCAGCAGACTTGTGACAGGTGGGGATGGTATTCTTGTCTCTCTCTGTACATATATAGTCCATAATGAGAAGGGTGTTTTTCACTGTGCAGTTGCCAAACAACTGCTTGTCAATTTATTATTAATTTGACTTTGCAAATCTGAGGCATAAAAGTTGAAAAGTATCTAAGTAGTCTTGTACATCACCAATACATACCTTGCTAATTGCTCATGACATACTTGCCAATGTTATTGATACTTAGGCAATAGATAAATATTTCATTGTTTCTAGATGCATGATCTACTGCAATTTTAATCTTCACACTGCCAAAACCACTTTGTGGTCATCACATTAGACATCAGATTTCTTTTTGGCTTCTTGACAAAGATGTGGTACAGAAACTGGTAAGAGACTCCATTTATTTCGGACTGCTTCACTGAGGATGTAGGGCCTCTGACAAACAGGCAGAGGCTGCCAACATCCACAAAAAATGGAAATGAAAAACTCCCTAAAAGCACTTCTGAGCTGAGTGTGCATTCTTTCACAAGATACGTGTCAAACTCTTTCCTTTTATTGGAAATGCTTGGGAGCACAGCTGTTTCGCACATTGTGGAGTTACTGACCTTTGTTAATGTGTAAGAACTAGGAATGAGTATTTTTTTTATTAACAAAATCCATTATCTTCCATCCTTTTTTATTTCATTTTTTTAAAAAATTTTAGTATTTTAAATACAAAATGAAGATGGTGGTGTACTGAAACTCCATGTTAACTAGCAGCTTTGGGATTTTTTCCTGATTTTTTCCTAGTTAGATGAGGGGAGAGAACATGTTAGAAAAACAGATGAAGAGGGAATTGTGGAGGAAGAGAGAAAAATGAGGTGAAGAGATAAGAGGAGAAAGTGAAAGAGATCAGGTGTGAGTCCATTTCCTATGGGTTCTCCTGGCACCTGAATGCTGCAATGAGTGTGCCCAGGATTTGCTGAACTCCATACCAGCCTAGAGATGAAGGCTGTGACCCAAAGGGACAGTTGCTTTGTTCTCCTTACAGAGACAGTGTGAGAAGAACACCGGGTATCCCAGAAGAATAGTGGAAACTGTGCTATTTTATCCTATCCTCTTTTTAGTGACAAAGCAGTATTAATCAGGTATATTGTGGATGTTAGTTATATATTAAGCTTATGTATCTACTATCTAATATTTATTCATACATGTAAATGTAAGTATATATATATGTATATACAATGTAAAGACAAATTGTATAGACAATTCATATCATCCTTGCCAGGAGTATCATGCTTAAAGAAGTATGATTCCTTAAATGACTACATGAACAGCAATCCCACTGTGTTGCAAAATGTGGTAGAAAAAAGAATGTAGACCAGAAAAATCTGTCATCATCAAAGCCACCCAATATGGAACATGCATCTATTTTTTCGAGAAAGCACAAGAGACACATTAGAGAGATGGTAAGAAGCTTCCAATTTTGAATGTTAACTTTCTTTGTTTCCTCTCTAGGGGATACGGCATTGGTGTAAGGCTGATTGATGACTTTTTAGCTCGTTCAGCTGTTAAAAAATGCCGCAGTTATTCGGAAACTGCAGACATGATTGCACAGGTAAATAAGATTCGCATTTTCTAAAGCTTCATCAGATTCAGTGGTCTTAGTTTTATCCTCCTCTATCAGTTTACTCCAGAACAGTTGCCTACATTTTCTGCTGTATCGTGATTGTCATAACAAAAAACACTCCACAGTCACATCCATGCTTCCACTGGATGAAATACAGCCTTTTCCTTATCTACAACTCCATCACACATAACACAAAATGGGATACCAGCTGTAAGAAGCTGCCAGCCCCTGACATAAACTGACCTTAAAGTCAGTTACTAAGCTGAAATTAGAGTTCTTCTATTTCTAGCAGCCAATGAGGCATTTTGCCATTAGAATAAATAAAGAGGTGGGGGTTTGTTTTGTTTGTCACAGCTTAAGCTGATTTCTTCTACACTTGCTGGAGAATGCAATAAACAAAAAAAAATGATCCCATTTTAACAAACTTCCAATCATATATTCCCTCACTGTTTTCTCTTCCTAGGAGCATAAGCCTTAACCATCTCATACAGATCTTAAATTTCAATATTCTTAGTTCTGCCATTTGACTCTCCTCATCATCTCCATAATTATCTTAGGTGTTTTTTAACTTTAAAATGGTAATTAATATTAAGAATAAGCCGTAGGCTTTTCTGCAAAAAGAAAATCTCAGTGGTAGGAAAGAAGAACTGTAAGAAAGGAAAATGAGAGGAACATTTTCCTGACTACCCACAAATCTAATAATAAAATTAAAAACATAAAATCAGTGTGTATTTTCACCTTCTTTGATGGAAATTTCCCTTTTATTGAGTAGTTGCTCACACTTCTGTCAGAAAAGAAATATCTAGGAGGAAATTTAGTGGCAATATATGGGTTTCTAAAGATCTACTTTTGCCCCCATGGGCAAGTCAGAATTCCTGGGGAAGCTCAAAGAGAAATTCTTAAGACATCTAGCCTCATTAGACTGCTGAGTCACTGTAAAGGAGGTGGTAGTTCATAGATACTGAGTTAGCTCAGTCTAACACCTGCTCAGGTCATGATGAATGATCCCTTCTATCTTCTATGGTTCCCACCTATGAAGTGTTGCCAGTGAAGATATGCCTGGCCTTTCCCAATGGCAAAAATTAACCACACTTTATGCCAGAGAAATTTACAATGTGATCATTTATTCTAAGAGGAGAGATCAGGGCATCAGTTAATTGAACAGAGATTTATTTCCATTGGCTCATTTTAGGAGGCAAAAGTATGCCTGCCGTACTTTTCGATTGCTTGAGAATTTTCAGCAGCATGTGATCTCATTATGTGATCATTATGTGTAACCCATAGAACTGGGAAGCAGCAGACTTTCTATGTAGCGAACTAAGGCACCAGGATGTGCTAGTTATACAGGAGTATCTTAGTTCAAAGTGTGTGTGGATATTGCCAGATGGTGTGTGGTCCTGCTCACATTAACTCCGTGAGAAATACCTACATTGCATCGGACTCAGATGGAGGGACAGAAGTTACATTATTATTCTAAGATGCTTATCATAGAGAAGCTGATGGCTGTGACAGAAATGGAGAAACTCTTTCTGCTGGCACGGCTATAAGGTGCACATGTGCAAAACACACATGTACACCATGACCTGCCAAAGTTTAGAGGAGAAGCAGGTGACAGTGCTAAAAGCCAGCCAGAGCCCATTAGCTCATAAAAGAGTCGAAACTAAATTTCTTACTTCAGTAAAGTCTATTTTGGAGTCTCAAATCAGGATGATATATAACAAAGCTTGTCCTGTGGATCAGCTGAGCTGGGGTAGAGGATCCATTGGAGATAATAAGGGCAGCTGAATGAAACCCATGAGACAAGCAGCATTTCAATCACTGTTTTAAAATACACTGTCTCGTTAAAAGAAGGATACCAGGCTGCAAAATCACATTTTTGTTCACTTTTACATTCTACTTTAGGAGATATTGGTACTTTATTTTCATGTATATGCGAGATATCTGGTTTTCTGGTCTTATTCTTCATGTTTCTATTTACAAATGCCCTATTACAGTTGAACCACCATTCTTAAGTACAGGGGATTCAACAGCACAATACGGTGCAAAATTAATGATCTAAGTAAGGAAAAAGACACTATTCCTCTGCAGGTTGTACTTCAAAAGAGACTTACCAAGAGAAATAAAAGATTACTTGGAATGATTTGAACTAACTTTAAAGTACACACAGTCTCTTGAAAGGACTATTTTTAGCAAACTAAAAGAGGAGTTTTGTAGTAGGAGTATAGCATTTCTGAGGCAAAATGTGATATGGAAAGCATTTTCACATTTCTTTGGCAAAACATTTTTAAATGCTCTTCAAGCACATTTGTCTGAGGCACATACCAACAAAACATATGTAAAGTGATCCAGCAAGTAACTGCAAATACACTCTTAAATTTTTCTGTTCAGAATCACTCATCTGTTTACATAATGCCTTTAACTCCTCAGCAGTAGGTTCTCAGCCAGGAGAAAATGCGAAAATACTCAGGTGTACTAAGTCCTCTGAGGTATAAATCTGTTTGAGGATGAGTAGAACCAGTTCAAAGTTAAAGTAAATAAAGACAGTTAAGTACTTCAAGTACTTAGAGCCAAATGTCCTGTAAGCATAGTTGTTATCCAGCAGTCTTTTGCAAAACACAGGAAAAGTCTGGAAGGTCAGGCTGTGGGTGATCCCTGAGGAAATGGAAAGAGATCAACCAAACAACACAAAACAAAAAAACGTAAAATGAGGACTACAAAGCCACCTTCCCATATTAAGAAATAAAGATGGAGGAAAGGTGCACCCAAGGCAATGACTGAGGGCTTAAAACTTCAATCACTGTTTCAGACTGCAAAGCCTGGGATTTACTGCTGCCTTATACCGAACTGGAGAAGAGCCCTTCTACTCTAAGTTCTCATGGTGCTGACTGACTTCTCATGTTGGTCCTGTGACTTGGCATGGTTACAGTTGGGGACTGAATAAAGAAAAGATAAAATAGGCCGTATAAAGTTGGCTCTCACTGGCAAACTGGGGTGAGAAAATGGAAACCAACTGAGGAATGGTATTAAGAACAAAGCTCAGCTGAAGAAGTAATGTCCAAGACTGGATTCAGAATTTGGGTCTGAGTATAACTAAGTAGATACTTTTGGGATAAGGGTGATAATTTTGGTCTATAATCCTACAAAGACAAATTTTTACTTCGATTCCTCCTCACAGAACCTTGACATCATTCAAATAACGTGCAAAAAATATACAGCTTCTGGTTTTAGATCTAATCCTAGTGTTACCTTCTCCAGCCCCAGGAGGTGTTTGTGCATGCCAGAGATGGAAGCAGCCAGACCACACCCTCTGGTTCACATTGAGCTAGTGCTGGCTCACAGCCTCCATTGCTCTACTAAGCAGTGCTGTGCCTAAGGATACATCTGTTGCTGAAAAGCAGTGACTGCAGAGATGGGCTTTATTGTCGATGCTCAGTACCCCATGAATGCAGAAAATTAAGTCTCTGCAGCTCTTTGAAGAGAGGTCCCTGGGGACAACAAGGGATGGGGTAATCCAATCATGTCACCCCCAAGCCCAGAGCTGTAGGACAAGAGATGTAATTCCCCTTGTCATGGAAGGTGCTGCCACACAAGGTCCCTTGGCCAGTCTGAAAGTCTGACAGAAGCTAGCAGAATTTACAAAGTAGTTAAATGTTCTTTTCCAGACCTTAGTGGTAAGAGAGAAATGCATACAGCAGGTTGCTGTGCTAAGTGGTAGACAGTAAACTGAAAAATGAAGTGCTGTACTGTAAAGAATAAAGAAAAGTTTATGAGAAAAGTTTGGAATCAGCTGCTGTAAAGCAACTTGCCTTACCAAACACTGACTGAAAAATACTAATAATGAAATGTGTGCTAGGAGAAATATTATTTTGGCTGCTTTTCCCTTCTAAGCAGATTAATTCTGGTCCTTCCTTAATCTTGTTATGATGCCATTTGAAATTATGGTTTTCACTTATTTAACAGTCTGTACTTACTTACTTTCTGTCATTACTTATGCATAAAACATTTTGTAGTGAAAAGTCCTCAGTAGTATGTAACGGGACTGATAAGTTAGTGGCTTCCTAAGTATTTCGGTAATTCTAGACTGTGTTTGAGCATCATCAAAATGTTAATGAATTTTATTCTTGCTGCTTGAGAGAGAGGGAATGCTGGTTGAGACTTTGGAAAAGGTCAGTGGTACGTATTTAATTCTGACTGCATAGATTTCTTGTTTGACATTAAACAATATATAATTTCATAGAGCTGCTAGTATCATTTTCAAAAGAGAGATTTTGCTTTATATGGGCATAATTTCGATGGCAAGCCTGTGTACATGTCTAAATAAATATTCTTTTTTCTTTCATTTCATAAATAGAAATGAAACAGATTTATGGCTATGACTTTTAAAACAGCTCATTCATTTTTCTTTCCAGTCTTTTGGAGTCACAAAGACTGAAAAGACCTTTGTTTTACTCTCTGAGAAGCTGTAAATGGTAGTTTTGAAGTAATTAACATCCAGTCATAGCCTGTGTTTTTTTGTAAATATTCATATCTGTTCATTGAATTACTTATCTATGTGCTTCAATTATTTTTCCTGATGAGATGTTTTCACAATTTTCACTTTATAGCTTTGTGATTTTGCCCTAATTTGGTGCTCCATTGCAAACCAGCTACTTCTTTTATGTATGCAAGTTCTCATTTACACAGGAAGTTTTAAACAATAGAATTAGGTCAGATATATCATACTGTAATGCCAAGTATAGCTGAAACTAAACTGAAAGCGTATGATGGCTTAGCACAGTTAAAACGTCTTTATTCTTATAACAAATACTTTAGTTTGAGGGAGCAGCAGATGTGTAGTGGAAGAAGAGTTAAGAGAATTGAAATAAGTAAACTGAGGGACAGAGCACAGAGAACTGAGCAGAAGTTTCCTGTGTACTCATATTTTGATGGACGTAAGACTTAATGAAAAATCCAAGTTTTGCAGCAGAAAATGTTGATTCCGCTGTTTGGTTTTGTTTGTTGGGGTTTTTTTCTCTCTCTTCAGTTTGTTTTGGACAGTGTTGACAGTAGTCTTTGTCTCATCCTGAGCTACCATGGTAGCTGCTGAATTTAGGGACGATGTTGATAGAAAACAGCTTTTGCGATAGCAACTTGAAGGACAGGGTTAAATTTGCCAAAAACAGATTCCAGTTGAAAATGTAGGGTCAAACTTGCTTTTATTTTTGTCTGGTTTTATGGAAATATTCCAGCATCCACATGAAAATTGCATTAGGTCATAGGCATTTTTGTAAGATAAAACAGTCACACAGCCCTGGGAATGAGGATCAGTGAGGGCTTCTACCAGGCACACACTGCAGCATGAATTGTTCAGCAGCTGTCTTGGAGGTGGAGACACTCTCAGTAGGAATTACCTGCAAACATGAAGCAGGGTAAGGATAAGGAGAGGAGAATGCACCTTGGTTTTGTTCCTCCACAGTAGAAGATTAGGTAGGGAAGCACTGCTGTTTCATATGGCCCTGACTTCTCAAGTGCAGAGCTTTGAGCTTTTTTCCAAAGGAAAAGAGTATGCCAAAAGCCTTGAGTGTGATCAGTCTGTCCTTCCACTCTTCCCTCTACCAGCTATGCTTTTGACTCGGTGTCCCAGATATTATATCAAAATGGAGGCCTTATCTTTACATCAATCCATGTTTCCCATATTCCTTGATCAACTTATTAACCTACTTGATGTCCTCCCCTTTGCGTCTCTACTTTCTGTGGTTTTCTGTGGTACCACTGAGGAAGGAGGTGGAAAGACAGTTTTGGAAAAGAAAGGTTGGCCCAGGTAGCAGGATGTGTCTCCTCTCCTCTTGCATGTAGGGAGGAGGTGAAATGGGGCTGAACAGAAGATGTTGGAGCAGCTCTCATAAAGAAATATAAAACCAGACAAACGGGAATGGTCATATACCCTGAAAGTAGGTGGATGCTATACCAGGAGAGGAACCCAGTGTATATGCCAGGCATAGTGTCAGACATGTCTGCTGTTGTGACTTTCATTTTGACAGTGTTGCATCTGTGCTTTCAGCTGCAGCATTTGAGTGTATGACATGTTCTAAGTCTGTTGCTAAGTGAATCACCTGGGATAAAAGTAGTTTAAACATTGTCTGAAAGGTCACAGGTTATTCAAAACATACAGAAAAAATTCTGAGCAGGCAGTGGAATTAGCTCTTGGATTTTATTTCATAAAGAGTAATTGTATATGCCTGTAGATACTTTTACCTGCTGAAAGAAGCACAGTGAGTATGAGAACAGCTGGGCAGAGTACCCTGGTTTGTAGATAAGAGCTTGACTCAAGCACAGCAAAAATATGATTCTTTGCAGACTCGGAGAGACTGGCAGTAAAATGCTGCGTAAAAGCCTGCCCAGACACCCCAGGGAAAGTAACTTTTTTCTCCTTTTATACAATGTTTGAGAATACTCTGGATGGATATCCTGTGTGAGAGCCACATGGTGAATTCCTAGTGGGTGAGGTAAAGCATAGGGCTCTGGGGTGAAACGCATTTGTCAGAGGCACTGATTATGCAGTTGCCTCACTTGCCAGTTCTTCTTGCTCCCGACACTAAGTTTTCTAAGATATTCAGAAAAATGAAAATCAGTCTTCTGCAAAAATATTTTCTTGTCTTGAAAAGTGGAATTTTCATTCCAGGCCCTCCGTTGTACACTAGCTGTAGGCCCAGTACAAACAGTGTTACATAGCACTACAGGCCGCACCTAGTGCCTGAAACCCACTCAATACTAGAACTTGATACCCATACAAACAGAAATTCTCAGTTGGAGAAGATAATATGGAGAAGATGTTTGGCAAAATATCCAAAGAGAGAAGTCTTGAGGGATTGCTGGTGCCTTAAAACGAGGCTGTACCTGCAATTCGCCTGGAAATGACTTGGAAGGAAAATCTTTACTTTCTGTGGGCTGTCAGAAAGCCACACACATCTTCTATTATCATATTCACACACTTTAAATGATGTTACTTAGTGGTGGTCTCTTGATTTACATAGAGAATGCTATTACACCTTTTACATGGGATATTGTTAAAACCCACTTGTAGAAGTCATTATTCATCTCTTTTTGCTGTCAGCTCTTGCTGTCAGCCAGTGACATTAGTAAAGCATGAACCCTGGGTGACATGGAGGACCACAGCCTTTTCACTGACATAGGGAAATAATTTCATTCCATTCTTTCGGAGCAAGTGTATTACTGGAAGGGAATATGATGAAGAAGAAAGAGACTGTTGTGGGAAAAAAAATAGAGATGAAACCAGCTAGAAGTATGCTATTTTAGCAAGATATAAAAAAGCTGAAAATTGATTTATGGTATTTCCCTTCTTTCCACAAAGTCCAGCGTTGTCTCCCTTTCCTCACTGGTTCCTTTCCGGCCTTCTTCGACTAGCTTGTGAATTGTGCTATAATGCTGTTTGCTGTTGCTGAAAGAGTAAAGCTGGGAAGCATCCTCCCATGCCTGAAAAGCTGGCAGGGAAATCGGTTCTGGTTCCTTGTTTTCAAAAAAGCACTTGAGGTTTCGCTCACTCAGCTTGGTGGCATACAGCTGGAAAATATGCTCCAGTTGCTCCTTCTCTGTCCCCTCATACACTCTCCCGAACATCTGCTGGAGGTGACTGACTTTTGACTGGCAGCTGGCACAGCAAGTGGCTAGTAGGGAGAGAAGGGCTGTGGTAACTATCACACACCAGCCTAAAATCTGGGAAAGCAAAAGAAATGAGTTTCAGGTTAAAAAGACGCAAGTGAAAATGCTACTTAAATCACGAATGTCTGACTGAGTGACCACACTTTGTAGGGAGGACCTGCTACTCCTTTTGGAACCCTGCTGCAGGCATCTCATTCCAGTTTGCATTTGGTGCTGGCATTGATGTTAATGGGGCATCCATACGGGGACTGAAGGGAAGGAGAAATCCATCAGATTGAGACTTCTCAAAAGTGCTCATTTTAGTGTCTTTTTCTCAGGAAGGCAAAAGCTGGTTGATTTTTACAGTGTAAGGTGAAACAGTCTAGAAGAGTTGGCTCATACTAGAGTCTTACTGCCTCCCTAGACCATATTATAACAAAAGGAACTTGGATAACAGTTCCCTGAAGAGATATGACCAGTGCAATGGCAGTGGCATGTTCAGAGACAGATGATTTCAAATCAGACCTCAACTAGAAGACTGTATGTGAAGAAAAATCTACGAGAGGTCTAAATGATCTATCAAATAATGTAATGGCTGAATAGAGCTATACAGAGAAGAGAGCAGACCTGAGAGCAGGAGTAGTATCTGAGTAATTTAGAGAGAATATTTATCAGAGTTTATTGCAAAACCGTAACCATCTGGCATGTAGCGTACTGGAATTGCTCTCTGTATTCTGCCACACAAAGAGAAAAGTGCATCTGGAGAATAAAATATCAGTCACTAGGTGGTAAAAAGTTTTCTATCTCCTGAAAGCGTTAAATAAAATTACCCAACAAAAATTAGTATTAAGACACAATTTTAAATCATGATGAACTACAAAACCAAAAGGGGTGACCTTTCGTCCCAGATCAATCAACTTTTTAATTGTGAGCTCACTTAGATGTATTGTTTTCTGACTTCTTTTTAATTAAAAAACCCCTCAAACGCAACAGCTGCATTAACTAACAGGAATATAGAAGATGCTCTCAAATTTAAAGTGTTCCCCAATTTGAAATGTTCCCCAATTCTTTCAGCAGAATATTCAGTGGAATCTATGCTATTATTGTGAACCTTTCTTGACTTTGATGAATCAATCCTTTATAATGGAAAGTTATTTTTATGCTAAAACCAGTTAAAAATTATCTTTTTGCCCAGTTCTGTGAGAATGCCAGGAGGGCATGACGAAGAAGAAATATTATGTGCATTGGTAGGTCTGCGTTAGCACTGGAATTAAACCCTATTCATCTACACACTTATTAGAAACAATTTCTGTATTTTCAGAGAACTTAATTTTTGCTGAAATATGCCTTTGCACCATCACTTAGCTTTTTTCCTGTAGGAGCTTCAGAGTTTGACAAAATTCTGTTAAGAACATTTTAAAAGAAGGAGCTACCCCAGCAAGGGATGACGGTGGAAAAATCTGCTTGAAATTGTTATTATGGGATGTTCTCCTCTAAGGAGAGCAGAGATGTGAAGACAATTTTTTCATGCCTTGTTCCACTGGCCTAGCCAATAGTTTTACTCATCTACTCTACTGCAATGTGTAACATTTGCAAAAAAATGTAATACTTGTTTAGAAACAGTGGAAAATATTCCACTGTGGAAAAATTATTCTAGGTTTCAGAGACCCATATGAACTGGAACTTGTTTCCCATGCTCTAATGGTGATGAAATGGAGAGCTGCAACCTTTCTCATGTGAACTCTTGCACTGATGTTAAAAAAATAACCACCAGTAAAAATCTGTATTTAGCTGAGGGAATATAGAAAGTTTCCTCAAGGAAAGCTGTGAAATGGAGAAGCTTGACAAACAACTCTTGTTAGGAACTGGTAGGGAAGAATAGTTTAGCTTTCTTTTATTTTTCCCAATCACTTTGTAGTGACTGATGATTTCTGTGGGTGTTTGAGAAATTGCTCTTTTTAGCAGATTTTCACTTTCTTGCAGGTTGGAAAATGAAGTCATGTATTCTCATGCTATAAACCCATTCACCGGTCTTTCACTATTTCCTATGCATACAACATAAATTCTGAAGCACTGTTTATTATTTCCTTCTAAAACTCCCAAATAAATTGCTTTGTCTACAGTGCAGGCTTTGTCTGCATTCCACTCCTATTTGCATGAGGACTTGAAAATAAAACTGGCTCTTGGGGAGGAAATTGTTCCAGATGGATACAATTGCCTGACAAAAACTTCCTGGCTCCAGTGTTTTTCCTTTTCTGTGGCTTTTTTTTCATCCACTGCTTTGTTTCTTTGTCTCAGAATTTATTTGTGTTACAAAGCAGTGAGCAGAACTGTATTACACAAATATTGTAAAATGTAATAAAATCTCAGCTTTGCGTGTTCTGCTTCCTTTATGTTAGAATTTCTTCTTTCCTTTAAGCAGGACAAAAATGTGCTCACATCTGGCATCACGAATATGAGGAACACAAACACATTATGTAGGCAGTCACAAGTCTGTCAAAAATCTTGTTTTCCAGTACCTTTCTACTGTTAGTGACCTAAGATTTCAATGTGGTTATCACACTCTTCTATATTGTACAATGTGCATTCATTACAATAGTTTAAAATAAGAGAGTATAGCATGAATTTTTTATTGGAACAGACCTCTTTAATGAAATGACATCTGTTAAATCAGCCTCCTAAACAATTCAGTCATTTTTATCTCTTTAGAGCTCTCTCCGTTCAGGAAGAAAGCTTAAAGTTTTCTGGTTTTATTGACACTGCCCCTGAGGAAGTATGTGGGGCCCCTCAGGAAGTATGCAACAGCTCAAACTGAACTGAAAGATGGATTGTATTTTGCAAGGCTGCACTTTGCCAAAACACTGTTTACATGAAACCAATGGTTTTAACATATCTGACATTAGGATCTTTCACAGATAAATCATAGCAGCAATACAATTTGCATAATGCTCTTTATTTATATTTTTTCTTACCTGGGACTGTGCTTGAAGTGTTCGTCTTAGTTCATCACTCTCTGAAAAGGGCATGGAGCTTTTGCCACAGGCTACCATGTGTAGCTCTCCAAAGCACTTTTCAGATTTTCTGTTGCAAACCACCTTTAAGTAGGCAGGAGTGTCCAAGCCACTCATGGCACATTCGTAAAAAGTCCCATTGAGCAAAGCCACAGAAAGCCACATCACTGGGGCGACCAGGGCATTTAAAGTGATTTGTCCAAAGACGTAAAAGAAATGGCAGACATTCCCTCTCGGGAATATTTTCCTGGGATTCACCCAGCAGCCTGTAAAGAGTTTCCAGGTCTTGTTGTTCAAGAAGTATCCAATAACTAGCAAAACAAGAGCTGGGGAGAAGAGAAATACCAAACCGTACCTGAGGTTTTCACCGCTGCAAGGGCATCTGAAAGCAACAAGAGAAAACACACGTTCACCTCCCATTGTCAGCAGTGCCATAAAACTGTAACCTATAGCAGTTTTCCGGTCGATGAAGAACTTTAGGACTGTTTGGAAACCATCCATGTCTGATACTCACTAAGGAGGTAAAAACCAAGACAGTTTATCTTCGCAGCAGTTTGCAGCAGGGGAGAGCTCTGCCGAGGACGAGCTGCTGGCCCGCCTGCCCACACACTGCCGAGATAACAACGTGATGTCACTGCCTGCAGAACGGACCCCGCCGCCAGCAGAGCAGATGTTGCACATTTACAGTAACATTCAGCGGTAGTAGAAAGCAAGCAAGTAATGCTCTAAGTAATCAAATAAGTTTGCAGTCTTGACAGCCGTGTTCTTGCTGGGTTATTGTTATTTTTGTGACTGCAGGTGGAGATCAGATTGAAAACACACACCAGTTGCAGGAGATCTTGAACTGTGATGGTAAAAGTTGTGGCAATGTAGTGAAGGACCTAATACAAAGGCTAATGGTCCCAGGGGAGTATAACATGTCTGAAAGCAGACTAAAAGCAAACGAGTGATAATGGTAAAACCACTTTGTATGGGTTTGTAAATGTAGGAACATCAAAGACAGAACAGACAGCCTTCTGTTGTGTTTCCCTGGAGCATCACATAACTCTGGTTTTGCATTGCTGGCTCAAGCTGAACACAGAAAAGGCAAATCTAGTTTGATTTCTAGCCTGTCTGGCCCTTCCCCCTATTTTCCTGGGGCAAAACTAGTGTACAGGATGTTGCATTCTAAAGTTTCACCTCTGGTTTGTATATAGCAGATTCAGGCAACAGAGTTTCATCCTTTTGCAGGTTGCTTTCAAGACATACCTTGGGATCACCCCTAGTGTGAGTTGCAGTAGTGCTGCAGGAAATGAATTCTCCTTAATCCTGGACAAAAACCCACTAGTGGACTTTGTGGAGGAGCTGCCAGCAGAACGAGCATCACTTTGCTACTGTAACCTCCTCTGTGGGGTGATTAGAGGTGCCTTGGAAATGGTAAGGAAGTGCATATCTGTTTTCACCATTCTTTGTTAATTCACAGAGGCACAGGAAAGCAAACCCACCTGCTCAGATAAATGAAAATACAGTATTGTTTAAGCTCTCAGATTAAATGTCTATATCTAAATAAAAGAGGGTCAAACTGACCCTGGATCCTGAGGTAGAGAAACACACAGATTGGCTCACCTCCACACTGTCTCTGCCCGGCTCTTCAGTGACTGACTTGGGTGCAAAAGCCAGGAGGGATTGGGGAGCCAGCTGACATGTAATATGCAGAGCCATGGGGGCATGCTGGGTTCCTTCACTGCTTCTTGAGCCTATAGCACTTTCCTCCATAGCTGTAGCCAGTAATACTCACCCCAGGTTCAAATATGTGGAGATAGGTAATATTCTCAGGTAACTGCAGCACCTGCTGAAAGGGAGAACAAAATGTGGATAAATATAATGTTAAAATCAAAGCATCAGAAGTGTGTCAGATGGCATTCCAAATTTTTTTCTTAAATTTAAAACTTTTACAAAATAATAAATAGAGGGCATAATTTTAAAGTTACTAAGCAGTAGAGCTTCTGCTTTATGTTACTGCCAATAACTAATTTGGCATGTATTTTATATTTCAAGAGAAAATAAACCTGAGCAAGTATTACGCATATAAATCAGACTCAGAGTTACGGTATCTGATACAAGACTAATTAACAAAAGTATTATATCTTAAATTTTAGTATGTGACCAGGAAATTCTATGATCACAAAATCATGAAGTATACAATTTAGGTTCTCAGAAGAAAGCAAAGCACTGGAATGAAGAGTAATGTATTATACAAATCCCAGTGCATATAAATTTCCTTTTTATTAACTGAGTTGGGAAAGACAATTTAAAACAATCTAGAAATCTGTTTCTTATGAAACCTGAAAAAGGGAGTCCTCTTGTGGTAAGAGGGAGAGAGAGAAAAAAAAGCTCTTATACTGGAGGAGGGTGGAAAACTGGGGATTTCTTCGCTTAACTGATCAGACTTGATTCTTTTTAGGTTCACCTAGAAGCAGAAGTCACCTTCCTCCAGGACAGGCTGAAGGGTGATGCTGTGACAGAAATAGGAATTACATTTTTAAGGAAGCCTGAAGGCAGAAAGCACAAAAGGAATAAATGAAAGAAATATTGGGAGAAACCCTTGCTGAGGGATATTTTGCAGCTTTTGTTTCAGAAGACATGCAGGGTAAAAATTGTTTCACTGATCCAGCTGCACCAGCCACTTGGTTGAAAGGTGAAGACAGCTGGACCGTAAAAAGGAAGGGCAGGGCAGGGAAGAGCAATATTAATTGTCATGACACAGATATTAAAATGATCAAAATGACCTGCCCTTCCTTCTCACATAACCATGCTCTTGAGCTTAATGCAAGTTTCGTCTCAGTATTTAGTGCATGCTGGATGCAAAATATTCATTTGGACATCAAATGTTCTCAGACAAAGATGATGACCTTTTCCCATTTTGTTTTTCAGTAATATTTCAAAGCATGGCTGCTAAGAGGTGCTCTATTTCCCTGGCTGTGCATGCTTAGGTATAAAGAATTCATCTGCTCTGGCTGCTGTATGCCATGTGTCGCTCACAGGTGCATGTTTCGATGTGTAGTGGTTTGCCATTCACTGTCCTCCATGCTGGACATCCTGCTGCTTTGATTCCACAGAGAGATGCAGCTTCACTGATGGCAAGAGCTGGTTGGGTTCCTTACTGCTCTTCCAGGCCCCATATGCAGTTTTGCTGGCATATTCAGTCCTGTGTGCACAGCAGGCTGCAGCCTTCTGACAACTGCAGCAATGCTTGTGTTGCTCCAAGCCTTTTCATGTCAGCCCTCTCTTCAAGAGCACTCATGATCAAACTGAACAAAGCATGATGTATCTCATGTGTAGTCACTTTAGATCTGTACTTGCCTAAGGAAGCTTGAATGAAAATTCTAAGATTGCCACACAACTGGTTTGGTGGTCATTGTGTCTGGTCTTACCTGACCTTCACCATCAGCTGTTGAACATCTTCCCCTTGGCATTGGACTTTTTACCGCAACATGACTGGGAAACAGAGAAGGAGCAGCCTCACAAAGACCTGAGTTACAGGAAAGGTTTAATGTTTTTCCATGTAACACAAGATATCTAGATGAGGGTTGGACAAAACCCCTGGTCCTAGCATGATACCCTACCCACTAAGCCAGCTCACCTTCTCCTCACCAAAGCACTTGTTTTAAACTGAAGTACAAACAATTAAGTTCATTGAAGCCCAGAGTTAACCCTGATTTTATCACTGTGATTTTAACCCTCTTCTCCTATTTTTCCCTCAGTCTGTTTACCTCTTAATCCTGCTAAGTGAGGGGCATCTCTTACCTTGGGGTCTGCAGGGTTCATTCCCACTAGATCTGTGTAATCTTCATGATAGTCCTTTTCCCTTCATATATCTTAACAGTGTCTTACAGTGGTGGCAAAGCGTAATGGAGCTTTGTACAGAACAAAAACTAAGCTATTCATTACCCAGCCTTGGTCTCAACCCAACTGCTGTTATCTGCTACCAGTAAGAAGTTACAGCATGTAACAAGGTCATGTAACAATGTATTATAGCCAGTAACAAGTTTCCGTACTTTTTGTTTGCTTTGGGTTTTTTTTTGGAGGGGGGGGAGTTGTTGTTGTTGTTGTTTTAAATCAGGGCTAAAAGGTCTTGTGGAATTTATCTGATTTCACTGCCAGTACAGGAGCCCTCGGTGCAGTTTTTGCTGGTTATATCTAGCTGGCTGAGACGGACACGTGGCTGACCACAAAAAATGTTCTTTATAAGGCCATTTTTACTTTTTCCAGCAACATCCTACTAGCCAAAAGTTACCTTTTACGTCTTCAATATGAGAGGTAAAAGGTAACATTTTGAACTGAACTGTGCTTCATGAAGACACAAGTAACAAATTTGGACACTTGGTACTCTATTATCATTAAGTTTCTTGGAAGGAAAAGAGCACTGAGCAAGTCAGTGCTTGTGACAAAATGAGTGATTTTTAAAATTCTTTTCTACATATATAATTAAATCTTGTTTTCCCTTTATATGTTATACTTTCAGTTTCTAGAGAGAAAGAATCTTCCAACTTCATTATATTCAGCTAGTTAAAATAGGCTCTTCCCTTCCTTCTTCCTTGGAAAATGAGTATAACAAATAACTTCTTGGGATTCCTTTCTGTCTGTCTGAATAGTTTCCAAGTTTACTGTGCAGAAAGAGAGGATTTCTGAGAGTAATAGGACAGCCCAAACCAAACGATCTGACTCACCTCTCCTAAACGCTGTCTTAGGAAAAAGCTTTTCAGATGAAAACTGAACTTTGCTATTCTTCACTCAAAATTGATATATTTGTTCTTATAACTTGATGTTCTTTGATAAGGATATTATTATTTGCTAATATGGATTACAGATTTATAATATCCTTAAGTATGTGGTTGTGCTATAAATGTTTGTTAATATATAAGCTTCACTTACACTGCCATGTTATGCATAAACCTAATCCCTCAAGACAAGTTAATTTACACTTTGATAGACTCCATTCTGGATGAAGTTAAATAGTGTATTTGGCAGGGACAAGCAAATGTAGCTTGGGTGTAGCTTAAATAGCTTAGGTACTGATGCCAGGGCCAAAACACTGTACGTATGATTATATCTTTTAAAAATCCCATAGGAATTAAGTCCTTTTGAGAAAAATAAAAGGTAGAATGTAAATGGTAAGTTTAATGTTAGTGTATTTTCCCTGCAGCATTCATTCAAATGCCTATTTTTTTCCATTAGAGAGCTTTACAATTACAGGAAATTAGCAGTAGAGATAATTAGGAAGGACTCCTGCAAAAGGTGACCAAGATCAGGCAGAGGTAATGAAAATTCACTGCTATGGGAGCTTTTAGCTTCATGGGTACTTCCCAAAGCTGCTGAGCACATAGATGTAAAATGACTGGAAGCTATTTGGTCAGCAATTCAAACTGATATGCAGCTGAAATCATTCTATGGACCCCTTTGTTATGCACAGGTAGCTCCAAAATGGTAATTGCTTCCCAGATTTTCAAAGAGGTTGTCCTCGCCTTGAGCAACTAATTGACTGAAAGTAAATATCTTTCTGCTGCACTGAAAGCTCATCAAGTGAGAGCTAATAAACTAAGTTGAATTTCTGATCAAATCTTCCATTCCTTTTGTCTCTTTGATAAGTTTTGGTATTGTCACTCGAGCTGCCAAGTGCTCTTAAGCTGTTTGGTAATAATCTGACATAGTATGCACTGACACCTTTTCAAATGCTGATAATTTTAAACATATGGCTCTTCTTAATGAACAACAACATATGAAAAGTCCATTGTGACAGATGTATTTATTTAAATGTATTTAAGCAAAAGTAATAAAGTCTATTTAAAACCAAATCTGCTGAGGGTTACAACTATCATCTTTTACATAACGTTTGCATAGATTTCAGCACAGAGGAACTCTTAACCAGAATAAGACTCTTCTGGTTAAAAGACTGCCAGCAAGGATTTGTTTCACTAAAACCCTGAATCAATTGCATCTGTTTCATCAACAAATCCTAAAACAGTGAGATTTTGACCGCCTTCCTCAAAGCTGGCGCTGTTGCCTCTGTTTGTGTTCACATACTTGTGTATCATGCTGTAATACTGCTCTTGTGGATTGAATGTATACAAGAATGAAATCTTCTTCCAGTCTTCATTGTTGGGAGTATGAAATGGTGCTGGGTCAGTGCCTTCAAAAAAGCAATTTGTATTTCTTTCTGCCAGCTTGGTTGCATGCTCCTTGGCTTTGATCTCAAAGAGTTTCTGTTCTTCTTTTGAGTAAATTTTCCAGAACTTGAGCTGAAGATAGCTGACCGGGGAGCAACAGCGGCTGACACATGTTGAAATCAGTGCCACAGTCGTGATGATGGCTATCAGGAACCACCCTATCAGCTTGAAAGAAGAGAGATAGGTTAATGGTGGTTTTGCGTGGTCATATGAAGGAGTATAGAAAATAGCATTGAAGAAGATATGAAAACTGTAAACAAAGACACTCCCTGGAGTGCATGTAACTGTCTGCTTGCTGCCAAAAGAGGGGATTCCATGCAAACAATTCAGCCAGCCATACAAAGCTTCTGTGCCCCTGAGCTGATCTTGTTGGATTAAGGATGAATATCAAGAAAAGGAAGTTATTTTCTCAGTTATATCCAGCTTTCTTAACTTTTAAGACAAAATATTGACCATGAGTTTCTCCAGTTGTGGTCAGATTTATGGTACAGGGAATGCAAAATCACCCTGTGTGCCTCATGCTTGAAATCAGACCTCCTGCTGACTGTGCTCTATCTGATTGTGGACAGTAACTGCTCTCCCTGATGCCTGAGCATGCAAAAACAAACAGGGGCCACAACACACAGGAAAAGTTGTGTCCCGTACATTTTGTAGGCAGGACACAGAGTTGGCTATTGAATATGGGAATTCATTTTTGTTTTATAGACGATTCAAATATCCTTAGATAAGTCTCAGAGGTCCCATCAAAACCAGGTGTCCTAGTAGATGCTGATCTGTCCTTTAAGTGGTACTTAGCTGGAAGCTCCAGGCAGAGATCCTGCAACATCCCCTTTTACCCCAGGATGACTTTTTTTCAAATGAAAAATTATCGAGTGCTAAAGAAAAAGGAGTTGGTGTTCTTTTTGGTTCTTAATTTTGTAGACAGTAGATTAGATATTAAAAAGTGGTCAGTAAGAAAAATGCTCTCATACTTTTTCTGTTTTTGTTTGACTGGATGTTTCCTTTAGATTTCATTGCAATATCAGTAACAGTCATTCTTCCTTGATTTTTCTCCTTTCTTACCCTATCTGAATTCAATGGTATAGAGTTTGCTCCTTGTCAGCCTCTTTCTTGGAGAAGGAGCATGCTAAATATTTAGCAAATGTAAACATTTTTTAATTTTAATAAGCATTTGTACTAAACAGGAACTTACAAAAATCTGAGTAATTATAAACTCTTATAAACTTAATTCCCTTAACCAGCCTTAATGTTTTCCTGAGGAAGAGTTACAAATTCTGATTTTTCTACTGGAATTAAGATGAGATCCATACAAACCTAGAAACAAAATTGAAATGCTGCCAAAATTTGGAGGTTTCATTTCACTCCAAAGAGAGAAATCCACACACAAGTGCTATTTTTTGATCATGCAGTTTGTCTTCAGCACAAGAAACTTTAACAAGACAGGTATATATTTTAACTACTCTGGTAGAATACAGGTGTAAAATTATTAATAGGTTCAAGCGTTGAGATTCATAGTCAAAGAAGCTGTCCTTATTTTTCACTTGCCAGTTCCCTGTTGCAATCACACATCAGCTTCCCCTTTAGTAGTGATCTCAGGTTCCCCTCAACTAATGCCTTTTTACAGAAGTTTGAGATATTTAGAGATTTAAAATGTGGAAAAGGAGAAGAACTTGCACCATGCCTAAGTTGACTGAAAAGAAAATTTGTGTAAAGTCCTAGTCTCTAGGCTGGTTTCCTGCCCAACTCTGAATGAGGTTTTGTAATTGACAGTGCAAACATGCAAATCCAGAAAGTAGCATAAATATACACCTATTGCTTTTCTGTTACTGTTTTTTTTGCTAATGAAATTTTGCTAGTCATATACCTGTGGTACATGATATTATACAGTGTAAGAGAGAAGGACTGTTTACAGTCCCCAGCAGGCACTAGTATACATTGAGGAGCCAGGGTCAAAACCCAGAGTGTGAGGAGAAGAGAGGTGAGGCTTTACCTGGGACTGTGCCTGAAGGCTAAGAAGTTCACTTGATATATTTGTTGATAACTTCTCATCACAGGGTATTTTGAACAGCAGGTTTTGGCACTCTTGTCCTTGATCTTTACAGATGAGATCCTTTATCAGGCTGTTCCCGCTGGCTGCACATGTGTAGAAGTTGGCGTTGAGCAGGGCCACGGCTATCCAGGTGAGTGGAGCCACCAAGGCTCTGGCTGTCACTGGCACCAACACCTGGCAGTAGCGGGCACAGGTTCCCCTGGGGCTGCAGTCATGGCACTTCTCCGGAGGGCAGGTGCCTGTCAACAGGCGCCATGTCCTGGCATTCACCATGTAGCCGAGCAGCAAGAGGATGAAGGCAGGCACCATGAGGAAGACAGAGCCATACAGCATGTTCCCAGAATTGCAGGGACACTTGAACACCACAGAAGAGAAGATGTGCTCACTGGCAGCTGTCAGCAGGGACACAGTGCTGTAACCCAGAACAGTTTGGTGGCGGATGCAGAAATCCAGTGCCCCACGTAATCTATCCATTTTCTCCCTCCTCTTACTTTGATGAGAGCAAAATCTCCATCAGAAAAGGATGAGAGAGAATTGAATGTCCTGGAGCTCCGGCTTACAGAGGCTTGCAGAGCTTTCACTTTCTGTTCTTGGTGGTGATGCAGTGAAGCACAGAAACAGCCCTCCTCAGAGGAAACAAAAGAGCACGTGCCCACTGCACAGCATCAAGGTCAAACAGAAACCACAGTGGAAACCCACTCCAGTTTCAACATCATCATGGCTAGGCTTTGTGAATGAAGATTTGGGAAGGGCTCTACCTACCCATATTTGCTACAAGTGCGCTGGTGGCTGAAAAGGCCAATGCGAGATAGACAGGTCGGGTTGCAAAAGGCACAGCAGAAAGACTCCTTAGGTGGTATCGGCAAGATACAGTTCTTTCTGCGTTGTCTTTTCTCCTCGAGAGTGATCCTGCGTGCGTTCTCAAAAGAAGCAGCAGCGTTATAAGATAGTGTGTTTCAACAGCAAAACCACAAAGAGCTTTATTTCTATAAAAATAATTTGTGTTTGTCCATACATGCATAGTAGCTAGTAATGTCTTACATCTCATCATCTTTTCAGTGAAGCTTTTCAGTGAGGCACCAGATTCAAAGCGGGAATAAAATGTGAGAAAACCACCCAGAACTATATAGAGATTTTTATCCTGCCTTACTATTAGCAATACAATATGCCTTGTTCTCTTATGGAAGAAAATTCAGCAATAATCATATTAATTTTTCAAGATAATCAATCAATCTTTTTAAAGTTGTTAGAGCAGTGCACATGCAGCAATGACCAAGCAAACGACCCACTGAAGTTCCAGCTACCAGAATATTGTTTGTCAGGAATCAGATTTTGGGCTCCCTCCTCCATACCAGGTAGTGGTAGCTTTGCAGCCCAGAAAAGAACAAAACAAGAACGCTCCTAAACCAGCAGAAACTTAGCAGATGGTATGAAGTGGAAAAATGATGGAAAAGGCTTGCACAATGAAGAAAAATATCTGGAAGGGATTCCTGGGCATGGAAGACTCAGCTACCTGTGAAAATACTTGCTCAGAGTCTGGAAGTTTCATTCACTCCCTGAGGGAGATCAACCAGGCCCCTAAGGTTTGTCTTGTCTAAATCTAGACAATTTGAGCTCAGAATTAAGGAAGTTGAAGCTTTGTTTATTGCTTGTAGTCATGCAGCTGAAGCTCCCTGAGGCGATGTAGGTAGGTAGTTTGCTTTTGTCACACCCACATGTGCAGGTAGCTGGGAAGCTGGTGGTCACTGTCTTCTCTACCACAACCACTTATATGGGATTTTAGAGTAAAAACTCACCTGCTTCTTGCATAAACTGGGAGCTCTCTGGCTTCACTGGATGCATCAGCAATATGAATTCATCCTGGTCAGAATCCAAATGCTGTCATTTATAACGCGCTGATTCTTTTTGGGCATTATCACGGCACAGAGATTAACCACAAAGCCAGAGCTTCACCCCACTCTCAGGCAAACATTGCCTCCAGCTGGACCAGACTGACTATGATACTGGCTGCTTCAGGCAAGACAGTCAGGCATGATGCTGCCTGTATCACTCAATGCATCACCTAGAGCTGCAGAAACCAAGCCTGGTGGAAACACAATGGCTTGTCAAAGCTCTGTCAATGAACTTTGTGAGTCATTTAAACATTCCAAAGGGTCCTCTCAGCTCTTTGGGCAGCTGAGTAGGTGGCACAGAGGTGGTAGAACAGGCAGCACCACTTCAAGTGGCTGCCAGGCTCACACCTGATGTGCTGTGCTCTGTGCCAAGCTGCTACTGCAGAGGAAAACATGCCAGTTAACTGAAATGCTTGCCTTGGTCTAGAGGATCCTTTGTTATTGTGCAGCAGTATCATAAAAACACATACAACTAAAAAGTATATAAAACTGAGTGAATCAGACTGAAGCTTAGCCTGACCTCATCTTGGTTACAGCCAATAGCTGAGACGGACCACAGGGAACAGGGGAAGGAAGCTTGGGAATGCACTCATACTCTGTGAATCTGCATTTCAGGGATTTCCTTTGCATCTGAAACCTGTTGAGGTATTTCTTTTGTAAATTTGTCTGGATTCTGTCTTAACCCATGCAGACTTACTGACATCTAAAAATATTGTACTGCAGGTGTGCTCAACCTTCTTTCAAACCTGACACCATACCATTTGATGTCCCCAAGATCTGGAAGGGAAAAACATAAAACAGTGGATCCTTGGTGTCTCCCTCAACTTATGACCTTGTACATCTTCATCATAGTCCTCTCTTCCCCAGGCTGAGGAGCCCTTTATATAGTCATATGAGGAGCCCCTAATATAGTCATTCCTCATCTGATGTATTCCTTTGTATAATTTTTTAATCCATGTTGCTACCTGAACTGTGGTCTAGGATTCAGGTATCATTTTTTGCATGAGGGGAAATGGGAAGTATACCAGATTTCCAGTGCATTGAAGGTGTAGCTGAACCACAGTTTGCAACAAAGTCATACTGATGTTGTTTTCTATTTCCTTGCAATAATTCCAGCATTTTAACTACTTTGTAATAATCCATGAAGCACTGAGGCGATATTTTAGCAAACTACGTATTATAATAAAAAAACCCTCTCTTTCCTGAGGGGTAGTCTCAGTAAACTGAGAGTCTTTCAGTGTATATATGAAGGCAGGATTTTGTTTCACTTTGAACACCACTTCTTCTACAATTAGACCTGCCATTTTGCTTTCTGGTCAGGCAGCTAAGAAAGTATATCTCCAATTCTTTAAAGCAGAGGTTCATTTTTAAAGATTGAGGATAACTTTGTATTGTTGGCCACTATTGTTGCCTTGATTTTTACTTAGAGGCAACTAGAGACAATCGTTAGCATGCCTTGAAACCAGAATTCAGCATATCTGAAGAAGTCTTAGCAAATGCCACATTCCTGGAAGTGTTGCAGAATGGGTTAGGTGGGGCTTTGAGCAGCCTGGTCTAGTGGAAGGTGTCCCTGCCCATGGCAGGAGGGTTGGAACTGGATGATCTTTAAGGTCCCTTCAAGCCCAATTCAAAATTTGATGATTCTATGATTCTGCATCAGAAATAACAAATGCTAGTTGAAATTGCTGCAAAGGTGCCTCCTGGCAGAAACAGGGATCTGAGCTGCCTCCAAGAACCACTAGTTTAACAAGGGAACTGAAGGACCAGTGACAGCTCTCTGGAACAGATTACGACCTCACAGGGGAAAAAACAGAGCCAAGAAATGCTGCTATTTCTCTTTCTGAGCCTAATTTTAGCAGTGTTTTATTTATCTGTAATAAAATATGATTTCAGGAACAAGCTTCCTGTGACAAGGGAGTGGAGCTCTGTATGAAAAAGGATTAACCCTCCTCCAAGCAAACATGTTTCCAGTAAATATTCACAGAAAGCGGTGGGTGAGGGAAGAGAGACCACCCGAGTTGGGAAGTGGGGGAGTAGCTATGCTGGGAGCCAAGTGGGGTGCAGGTGTGGCCAGGATGAGCCCAGTGGCAACTTTGGGAGCTGGAGGAGGGGGGATCAAGGGAGCTCTGGGATATGAGGAGCCATGGGACTGGGGAGTTACAGAGCCCTTGTTCACTCAGAGCACTCTTCTCCCAAGGCAGCTCTTTCTTTCCCTCTAAATTAACACTTGTCTGGCCACAACAGCTGCAAAGTATTATATGGAAAGTGTTCAGAAAAACAGTTTTCTGTTAAAGAACCCAGGATTCCAATCAAATCCTTGGTTTTGCATTGATTTGCATGAAATTTTATGCCTTCCAAGGGGGATGGGAACAATGCTGGAATTAAAAAGATGAACATTTTTAGAACAAAATGCTTATTTTTGTTATTTGAAACACCTCTTTTTTTTTAATACTATTTATTAAAATGAAGGGGTCAGAGGAAAACAAATGGACTTGTTTAATATTTTATCAAGTTTCTCCTTGATGTTTTTAATTTCTGTGCTTTCATTTGCAGATGGATGAATCTCAGGCATCTTCTAGGTGGAAAAAGCTGTAGTCTGACTAATTCTGTCGTTCCCTCAAGTGCATAATACTGGTCCTAAAAGCAGCATGTCTGCGTGCATGTGCGCTCAGGGGTTTTACCAGTACGTATGGTGTAGGTCTTGTTTTCATTACCTTAGTAAGTCCTTACAATAGGTTATTTATTTTTTTGCTAGGACATTTGCTACTTGTTCAGAATAGTGAAAGACTGGTTTTGTTTTTCTGCAAATCATTATCTTTCTAGCTGCTCCATCCATGGCCCATCCTGTCCTAAATTCCTGTCATTGGTCTTATCAAGTTCTACTTCATCTTCACATTATTACTCTAAAATTTTGTACATCCACAGATGCAATGGAAAAGAGCACCTCCACACTGGTTTTCTGTTTATAACGACTGGACTTTCTTCTCCAAGTGCAGCTGTAAGCTGCATTTCTCAGTGCCCAGTTCAGAAGGACACATGGAAAAGTCTTTTTATTCCAGGAAAATTCTTGTAATGCCTTTTGTCTCAGTCCAGGTGAAATTAATGCTTAACATGTTGGAGGTCCTGTCCACAAGCAGATCTGCACCTACCCTCCAGGTGGACTGACCACCCCCAGAGGCCCATTGCCTCAGTTTGTGAAACCAAGGAAGTTATTCTGACTTTATGGCTGAACCAGCCTTCTTACAAGTTTGTGAAGCGTCACACAGCTCAGCGGCACCACATAAATCATTAATAGTACTAATACTTAGTAGACCAGCAGCCTGAGAAGTAGCACTGTGCCTGGGCCTGCACAGCTTACAAGCATTTGTGTACCTTATACTGCTATTTTAAGGCATTACATTTATTAGCAGTTTTTGGCTGAAAACAAATTTTTAGGGGGTAGGAAGGAAATAGGTCTGTAAAACCAAGCGTGGCTCTGAAGCAGGCTCTGACGGGTGAGCTCTGGTACAGAGTCACATAAGCCATGGCACTTTCCCTTGCTGTTATTTAGTGCTGCTCTTTTAACACTATAGATTCACTAAAAGTCTAATTTCTGTATGGGGAGGGTCCTGTGACCCAGTCCAAATGTTCTACAGTAACCAGCTGTGTGAGGAT